GTTGGTCACATAGATGTCCCTGGTTCAGTGTGGGAAAGGCTACAAGGGATGTGAGTACCAGAAGGTGAAGATTTATTGGGACCCTTTGAGAGGCTGACCACACAGTCCTGGGAGGCCTGAGAACTCAGCTGTCTGGAGTTTAAGGCCAAGGGGAGTGCAGAGATTTTTGTCTCTTTGATTGATAGCCCTAAAACAGTAACTGGTCCGGGGAAGATGCCCAATTAATATTAAAAGAATGAGTTAATATTAAGGGAAATGTGAGCTTATCTTGCAGCCACAGCCTGGTAAGATCTGGGCATTGGTTCCTATTTGCTTTCCTTAGGATTTTTAGCTCAAGATTTGCTTGATTTGACGTGGTCACTGACCCTAAGGGAAGGCGATCTCCATTCTTTCAGAAGAAAAGAAAAATAGATTGAGAGTATACTATTTGCTAGATAAAATTCAGTCCTACAAATATTACACTTGGGTTTGCCTAGCTCTCTAAAATCAGCACTAAGCGGATATCTTCTAGGGCACCATTACTTTTTAGGGAAAGTTGAAGAGTTCAAAAGAGTCCATCATGGGGTCTGTTTTGAGGCAACTTCACAAATAAAGCAGGGACTGGGTTTTAGTACCCTGACACCTGAGGTACAAATAACCAGTACTTACCTGGTAGGGTTAGCCACTTCTTCTGCATATCAGAAGCTCAGGTTTACTTTATCTTGAAATTGGACTAGCAGGGCCTGTCAGATAAAGAGCTAAGACTGACCCCTTAGTGGAGATAAACCATTCAGACTCCTTGAACTCACATTTATCAGTATTAATAATTATAAATGATATTATGGTTTAAGTACCTAATGTGTTTTTCCTCAATTTTCACATAAAAGATTTTATTTATTTATTTGACATAGAGAAGTCACAAGTAGGCAGAGAGGCAGGCAGAGAAAGAGGGGGGAAGCAGGCTCCCTGCTGAGTAGAGAGCCCGATGCGGGACTCGATCCCAGGACCCCGAGATCATGACCTGAGTCAAAGGCAGAGGCTTAACCCACTGAGCCACCCAGGCGCCCCATCACATTTATCCTTAGAATGGTCATGGAGTGTGTCTGCCTCGTTCACTTTAACCCTCTTCTCCTGAGATTCTTGCTCAGTCCTCTGTTCATGTTGCTGCTACAGGACCCCCCTTCCCTGGTCACAGTTGATCACATGATGGATGGTCACCTGAGCAAAAAGGGCTAATCAGATTCTAAGTCCTGTATGTCTGGAATTGGGACTAAGAGGCAGACTTGAACAGGTGAGTTATAAAAGGCTATCGATTTGACACCAAAAGCAAAAAGAACAAAAGCAAAAGTAAACAAGTGGGACCACATCAAACTAAAAAGCTTCTACTTAGCAAAGAAAACTGCCAACAAAATGAAAAGACAAATGGGAGAAAATATTTTCAAATCATCTATCTTATAAGGGTTAATGCCCAAGACATATAAAGAATTCATACAACTCAATAGCAACAAAAAAAAGAAAAAAGAAAAAAGAATCTGATTAAAAACATGGGAAGACAATGAATTCTGGAACATTGAAAAGAAATTTAAAAAATTAAAATTAAAAAACAAAACAAAACAAACAAGAAAAACATGGGAAGAGCATCTGAATACATATTTTTCCAAAGAAGATATACAAATGGCCAACAGTTATATGAAAAGCTGCTTAACATTCACTAATCATCAAGGAAATGCAAATTGAAACCACAATGAGATATTACCTCATTCTTGTTAGAGTGGCTCATATCAAAAAGACAAGCAAAAGCAAATGTTGGGGCACCTGGGTGGCTCAGGGGGTTAAGCCTCTGCCTTCAGCTCAGATCATGATCTCAGGGTCCTGGGATTGAGCCCCACTTTGGGCTTTCTGCTCAGCAGGGACCGTGCTTCCTCCCCTCTCTCTGGCTGCCTCTCTGCCTACTTGTGATCTCTCTCTCTCTCTCAGTCAAATAAATAAATAAAATCTTTAAAAAAAAGAAGAAAAGGAAAAAGAAAGTGTTGGTGCAGATGTGGAGAAAAGGAAACATTTGTGCATTCCTGGTGGCAAAATATATTGGTGCAGCTACTATGGAAAACAGGATGGAGATTTCTCAAGAAATTAAAAGTAGAACCACCACATGATTCAGCAATTCCATTTATGGGCATTTATCCAAAGAAAAGGAAAACACTAACTCAAAAAGATATATGCACCATGTTTACTGCAGCACTATTTGCAACAGCCAAAACACAGAAGCAGCCTAAGGAACCATCAGTGCATGAAGGGATACATGTGGTACACACACATACACACCAAGTGGAATATTATGTAGCCTTGAAAAAGGAGGAAATCTTGTTATTTGCCACAACATGGATGGTCCGTGAAGGCATTATTATGCTAAATGAAATGAGTCAGATGAAGAAAGATAAATACCACTTAATCATACTTATATATGAAATCTAAAAACCAACCAACCAACAAAAACAAATAACAAAAATCCAAACTCACAGATACACTGAACAAATTAGTGGTTGCCAGAGATGGGGCATGATGGGTGGGTGAAGGTGGTCAAAATGTACAAATTACAGTTACAAATATAAGTAAGTCAAGATGATGTAATCATACAGCGTGATGAATATACTGTATATTTGAAAGTCACTAAGAGTAGATCTTTAAAGCTCTCATCACAAGAAAAAAATGTGTAACTATGTGGTGGATGTTAACTAGACTAACTGTAGTGATCATTTCATAATAGATACCAATATTAATCATTAGGTTGTATACCTTAAACTAATATAATATTATAGGTCAGTTATATCCCAGTAAAAAATAAAGATTACAAAATAAAAGAGGTATGGAGTGATCTTTCTTCCTCCTGTAAGAAAGATGAGAAATGAAGAGAGTATTGCTTATGTATATGTTTACTGAATTTGTTCTAGACCTACTGAAGTTTATCTGCTCTTGGGGTCCATGAGATACCTCAATATCCTTCCAAAAAATTCTTTTTTGTTGCATAAACTAGTTCAAATTGAACTTGCTGCCTGTATCAAATCTGGTTTACACATAGGAACGTTGTGAAGTTGAGTCACTCGCCCAGGGCCATTGAGTTACAAAAGGACAGCAGAGCTGAGATTAAATCAATATCATAACTCCTGAGCCCATCATTTATCCCATACTACCACTAGGAGAAAGTGTTTCCCCTTCTCAGCCATCCTAGGAGACTCATATCCCTTAAAGCTGATTATGGCCATGTGACTTGCTTTGGTAGAGGAAATATAATCAGAGATGACGCGATTCATTCTCAGCGGGGACGTTGATTGTCCATTCCGTCTCTGCTTCAGCAGCCCTGAGCACATCACAGTATGGAGAACCGTAAGATCAAAGATGCATGTACACTGAGCCAACGCTCTGGGAAGCCACCTGAACTGACAGTAGACTTCTCATGAGAAAGAAATAAGCTTTTGTTGTTTCAAGTGACTGAGCTTTAGAATTGTCCAATTAGGCAGCAAAACCTGTCTTATTCTCATATATCCAAACAACAACACCTTATTCCCAAGGCCACCTTCTCGGTTTCCTATCGAATCGATTCCAATTTCCCGTTCTCCTAGAGCTATTCCTTCAGTTACATATGCTGCATAATAAACCCCTCCAACACTTAAAAGAGTAATGATTTATTATATCTCGTGATTCTGCAGGTTGACTGGACTCAGCCATGGGGTTCATCTACTCCACGAGGGATAACAGAAGGTCATTTTTGTGGCTCCATTTGGTGAGGAGCTTGGCTGGGACTGGAATATGCAAGACAGTCTTTCATCCTTGGAAATCTATTTCCACGTGGCCTTTCATTAGTGAGAAGTCTAGCCCAAGCTTCTTTACGAAATGGAGTTTCTAAGAAGACAGGCTCCCATTCACAAGTACTCATCAGGCCTCCACTTGCGTCACATTTGCTACTGTCTCATTGGCCAAAACAAGTCACAGGGCCAAGCCCAGCATCAAGGTAGCTGGGACAGTATCAGGGCATGAATTCCAGAAGCCATGGTTCTTTAGGGACTTTCAAGGTAACAGTCTATAACAGCCATTAATTAAGCATTACTGTTGAATATTAACAGTTTTAAAAGTGTTTTCACTTTTATTATCTCATTTTTGCTTAACAGTAACCCTTGAGGAATAAATATATGCCACCTCTATTTTACAAAAAAGGTGACAAGCGCTCAGAAGTCTGGACTCCTAAAATCACATGACTAGTAAATGGTAGAGTGGAGACTTGACCTCCCATCTTCTTACAGCAAGTCCTATGTCTTTCTATTATATCATAGCACAACCTGTGATATCGAGCTATGACTTCCAGGTTTGATCTTTCCAGGTTTTGAAATTTTGCTGACAAATTTTAAAAGAGTATTTTTCAAATACTTTTTCTAGAGCTTAGATTATTGTTTTTAATTGTGTGTGTGGGGAAATGCACCCAGTTCTCAAAGACTTTGATATATCGTAACGAAGTTACTAACAATGTTAGCTTCTTGTAAAGCAAGTGCCAATGAAGCCAGAGTGGCTTCTGGGAAGCACACACCTTAGATCAAACCCTGAAAGTGGACTTACTTAGACTTCATAAGGCCCAAAGTTTCTTTGGGCATTATGATGAAGAGTTTTAGTCCAGATCCAAGTTCCTTAAGGCATTTGCATTTCTGGGCAAACATCAGTAATGAGAGATGACCAGCAAGATTTCCATTACGGCTGGGCAGGGGAAGGGGGTTGACTTGGGAGGCTTATAAAATTGAGAAAGCATCCATAATTCTCATTACTACTTAATAATCATGGATGCTAGAGAATAAATCACAAGGAGATTAAAATCAGACCTGGCTCAGAAGCACAACCTGTGTTGCCATGATCATCAATGGCGGTGGAACAGACATTCAGAGGAACTACAGCCCCGGGGCCCATTATGAGCTGAAATCTGCGGCCACGCCTTCCCTGGATGAGACGCTCTGCTGAGGAACACCCTGGACAATGTCCTGTCATCTGGTCCCATACTCTTTGCCCCCAGCCTCCAGGTGACACTTTTCATTAGGAACCTTGGCTGGCTGGGCCTTTGATCCATTTCCTTCACTTTCCTTGTCACTTTCCTGGTATGGAGAGAAAATGGAAAATTTAACTGCAAACCAAATACCTCTGAACTGCCCCTCTTGCAGAGACACCCCCATACAAAGCTTCTTTATTTAATGACTCTTAGGCTTCACGTTCAGCCAACTTCTACAACCCATCTCATGACATTGGAACTTCACACAAGAAAGGCAGCTACAAAGTATCATGGAGCGAAATTGTACATAATTTCCAGGTGGGAGAGTAATTTATATGAAGTGGAAGCAACCAATCTTCCCCCATCAGGAGGTCACATACCTTATTTTGTGTCTTATAGTACTCATTCAACACATACTGATATTTGGGTTGATTAAGACCAAAGAAGGTAGCAAATCTTTCACCAAGGAATTCACATGCTAAAAGAAAGAACAAGCACTTGGGTAAGTTGAATTAATAACTAAAACTTAGAGTCAGTCGAGGGGTAAGAGTTTAAACTTGCCTGGAGGAGATCTGTTACTACACTTAACTGGAAGGCTGATGAGAGATTTTAATTGCTCTGGATTCTCAAGAAGTTCTAGGGCTCAGAAGGACTTGTTAAATCTTCTGTCTTCCCATGGGATTACGTCTAAACTATCCTTCCCAGATGGGTGTGTCAGGAGAAATTTTTCAAAATACTTACTACCCAGGGCCAACGTTGGTGCTAAGCAATCACAGTAGATGCTTTGCTTATGAAAGGTAGAGATAAAGGTTTAGTATTAATAGTAGTTCCCTGAAGGTGTCTCCTAGAAATGTTTCCCTTTAAAATTGTAGGATTTCTGACACCTCCCCCCATCCCCAGTGACACAATTTTCTGATCCCCATGACTGATTCCTCTTCTTGGGATGTTGCTCATAGAACACATTGGAATGGGGCTCTACATTTTTTTTAATGTGTTTTATCTTTTCAAAAATACTGTAGCTCTTGGCTGCCTGGGTGGCTCAGTTGGTTGGGCAACTGCCTTCTGCTCAGATCATGATCCCGGGATCCCAGGATCAAGTCCCGCATCAGGCTCCCAGCTCAATGGGGAGTCTGCTTCTTCGTCTTACCTCCCCTCTCATGCTCTCTTTCTCTCTTTCAAATAAATAGATAAAATCTTTTTAAAAATACTGTAGCTCTTTAATCTCTTTGCTTGCCACCGTGCATGGTATATGGGTATAAGAGAAGTTTCTAAAATATTAGAATAAATCTTGGGAAGTTTTCCTGTTTAGGACTTACTAGAATTTTAGATTGAAAACACTCATTACAGGTTCACCTGGGTGTCAGCTCTATCCAGAGTTTCTGTGTGGAGACCAGGTGCTAAGTGGTTGCATACCCATGCTTCCACTACCACCTGGAAGCCCCACACAGATGCCCTTGAATACTACAGTTTTGCTTGGAACCTGGAAGGCAGCTTGGTTCCCCTTGTGTCCTGTCCTTGCCATCTTAAGTCAAAGCCCAGCATGGAAATCACTGCCATCCCTGTTCACCTTCACATTTTCATATCGCTGTATTGGGTTTTTCTTCTTCACCTAACCTAATCTCCTAAGGTTTTCTCCCTCCAAAACATTTCACCTCTTTGAAGGGTCTTTCCCCAACTAAAGCACAGAGCTCTCTGGAAGACGGCATATATATTCTGCCAGTATGTTATGCATGAGGCAAGACTGGTATCTCACCCAGGTTCCCAAAGTAACTTCCAAATCCATAACCGTCTACCCTGGTGTGAATGCACTTGCTCCTTTAAGGCTCATACCATCTGACTAAATCACCCATCACTACTTTTTACTGTAATTTAAACACTTCCCTCCCCTCCCCTTCCCCCAGTGACTTTCATGGTCTCCACGCTGAACTTAGCCATACTTTCATAGCACTCTGATGGTACTGCCTCCATAGGTCAGCATTACTGAGTTTCCCCATCGGTAGTCCTGATGCTCCTTTCACCTGGCAATGGTCGCAACAAATTATAATTATAGGCATGTTTACTGGCCTATAATATCCATTGAACATTGAGTCCTTTGAAAGCAAAGACTGTCATTTGTTTTCATGTCCCAGGGACCCACACAGTGCCAAACACATACTGTCACTCAATAAATGTTTGTTTAATGAACGAATGACGATCAATTCTTCAGAGCTATAGCTATACTTCATATTTTCTCACGTTTTTAAAGTTGTTTCCTCCCTGTTGTCCATACAAGCATATGTGAGTTAGAAGGAAATAAGTAATAAGGTATTGCCAATTGGGCTCTAAAGAAAATTGGTGAATATCAAGGAAAATAAGATTTAGTATTTCATCTGTTATAAATAGCCACTTAGGCCATTCACTGTGTCCCTGGGAAGGGTCAATAAAGTTCTTATTCATAACAGAGTGGTTATGATGAGGGAACTTGGAACTGTGTCATATAACAATAGTTTAAAAAAAACTTGGAAGTTTATTCAGAAAAAGAGTCAGCTGGGGATGGGGAGAGGTTATTGTCTTCAGATATTTGCAACTCTGTCCTGTGAAGGAGGAACCTAGGCTTGTTTTATACGGTCTTAAGAAAGACCACTAAGATCCATGGGAATAACTTTAGAAGAAGACAAATAGGAGGTAGAATTTACTAAAAAGAATTGGAAAGAGATAGGAGGGTCTGCCTAAAGATGTGAGGTTCTATGCCTTTGGAAATGTTGAAGCATAGATTGAGAACCGATCAAGTCATTCCTTCTCCGGGATGCCAGAGTGGAATAAACTATTGGAAGCCCTAATTCTGAGGGTCTGTCAGCCCATCCTTGAGTATTTAGGAAAAACAAATAAATACCGTTGGCAGTACTTACTAGACAATGAGGTGCTTGCTATTTGGCCTGCCCAAAACCATAGATAGGGCCCCCATGAAAGGGTAGACTGAAAAAAGAAAGAGAAATCAAGTTAGAGTAATTATTAATAAGAGTGGTGATACGAAGTGTTTCATGTAGAGGTTTCAAATGCTTTCTAGTATATTCCATTTTCTTTCTCATAGAGGAGAAATACAAAGTTACCAAAATTATGAGCTGACTATAAATGGATCTAGAAAACAAACTAAGGGGAATAAGGAGTTCGCTTAAAACTATATTTTCTACAAACCTTGTCTGGCTTAATCTCTCATGCACTCAGTCCACATGTTCACCAATATTGATACTGTAAGCTTACGCGATCATGTGTTGAATTTGTTTTCTGTCCCTCTTTTTCTTCCTCTTCCTCCTCCTCTGTGCTATACTCTTCCATGATGTCTCCATCAACGAAATGGATAATTCTTTTGGGAGTAGCTCCTTTGGGAGATCCACTCTTCTCTAATTCGGACTCCCGGAAATTGCCTTCTTCCATAAGAAAATAAAACAACTAGTGAATTAAAAACCAGACACCTTAGGGCAGGTCTCCTGGGCAGTGTTTCTATAGCTGAGAGGTATTTGATTGTTCTCAATGGGTGGTAAAGCTAGAGACTCCAGATATAATCATAGCTGTGATCTCATCAATTCTTTGAATCCAACAAGGACTCTCCAGTTCTGTATAAAAATGGAAAAAGTTTTATTAGTAGTGAAAATGTGAACTTTGAGTCTCCAAACAAAAATTTCAACAGGGGTTCCTTACCCCTTATTAATTACAAAACCAACAAATACTAGTAGGAAGAGTCCATTAACCTGTGGAAATTTCCTAATTATTTCAATAAATAATGAGAGGCAATATATGCAGTGATTAAGAGTGCAGGCTTTGCACAAAGAAGAAAAAAACTGTCAAGTATACCTGGTAAAGGACTTCTTTCCAGAATATGTAAAGAACTATTACAATTCAATAAGTAAAAGACAAACAACTCAATTGAAATATGAGAAGAGAGGGGCTCCTAGGTGGCTCAGTTGGTTAAGCATCTGTCTTTGTCTTGGGTCATGATCCCCAGGTCCTGAGATTGACCCTTGCATCAGGCTCCCTGCTCAGCGGGGTGTCTGCTTCTCCCTCTCCCTCTGCCACTCCTCCCTGGCTTGTGCTTTCCCTCTCACTCACTCACTCTCTCTCTCAAATACATAAATAAAATCTTTAAAAAAAAACCCTATTATTTAGTATCTCTGTGCCTTGGTTTCCTTATCTATAAAATAAGAATAGTACAGTTTGAGTGTATGTTTGAATATAGCACCAACCTTATAAAATGAGAATTCAATGAATAAAGATACACCATGGAATTAGAAAAATTTTTAGCAAACAGCAAGTGTCTCGCAAAAGCTAGCTTTTAAGTACCTATCACGTAATAGTGTATGTATTAGACACTATTCTAATGTGGTAACCACACTATTGTCTTAATTAGTACTTAATATATTTTAAGATTATATCACCAAATATGGCAGACTGAGCTGATGTGAATGACTCCTTTCTGGTTCCAAATACACAAAATTAAACAAATAAAAATATTAAATCAAGCTGTACTAAGGCAGGAAGAGAGAAGAGAGAGACACCGGAAAGAAGGAAGCCTGGGTGTCCGCAAAAGAAGGAACTCAAAATCCTAAGGGTGAGCGAAAGCTGATGTGATTCCTGAGGGTTTCAGAAATAGATACAGGCATCGGGGCTAAAGTTTTAACACGGGTGCGGAGAGGAGAGCCCAAATCACAGATCCTGTGAGAGTGAGGAGCCGAAGTGAAACCCCTGCACAAAGCCAAGATAATAGTGTACAATGTTACCTATAAAATATGGGCTAGAAGAACTGCTACTGCTTTACGAAAGTGGCAAAGTAATTTGTCATCTCCTGGCAACACGGGTAGAAATAGTCACCTGAAAAATACTGGAACCCCAGGCCAGTACCAAATGCTGGTTGTGGCCAAGTTCATAGTCCTCCTGTGGTATGAGGACCAAAGTGAAGCTGCAGGGTGCCTGGGTGGCTCAGGGGGTTAAAGCCTCTGCCTTCGGCTCAGGTCAGGATCATAGGGTCCTGGCATCGAGCCCCGCATCAGGCTCTCTGCTCGGCAGGGAAGCTTCACTTCCTCCTCTCTCTCTGCCTGCCTCTCTGCCTACTTGTGATCTCCATCTGTCAAATAAATAAATAAAATCTTAAAAAAAAAAAAAAAGTGAAGCTGCAGGAACCAAAGGCGAGGAAACCCATAGAACTCTGTTGGAAGCAAGCACAAAGCCGCCCTGAAGGGAACAGTCAGCAAGACAGGGTAGGCTGCCTCTCCACTAAAAACAACCCTTGCTGAGGAGACACTTGCAAAAACTTACAAATCACAGGACGAACCCAATCGTCTTGAGGAAGGGTAAGCCAATGAAGAAATGGGGAGAGTCTTCACCCAAGAGTTAGAAATACTAGGACAACACAAAACTTGAAAATGAATGTTTCGTATAGCCACAGGGATAAAGGAAACAAAACATAATATCCCAGAGGAACAGGTTGATTTGAAGAAGAGCTGAACAGAAATTCTAGAAATGAAATATATAGTCAATATAGGATAGATTGGATGTAGATTGAACAATGACGAAATCTCTCATAGCAGAGCATCAAGCGGTATATATTCCACCAACATGAAGGGAAAGCTTTGAGATGAAGGATGGGTGAGAAAGTCCAATACTTACCGATTGGGAGTTCAGAAGAAGTGAACAGAAAAAACGGAGAACACAATATTTGAAGAGGTAACAGCTATGAATTTTCAAAATTTGAAGAGCAACATAAATCCTCAAATACAGGAAACCTAAAGAATCCTAAGAGGGGCAAATAATAATGAAATCAAACCTAGATCATGGAAATTACTGAAAATCTTAAAGGTCACAATACACAAGGCCAATTAATCACAACGGTGTAACAGACTAGTGGCTGACATTAGATCAGCAACAACTGAGACCAGAAATATGTATGTTTATGTATATATGAATATTCATATATTTATGTGTTGAAAGGGCCAGGGGCAGGCTGCCCCAAATAGGTCACTTTGGCATACTGATTGTTTTAAAAAGGTTACTTAAGAGCCAGCCTGTGCGAGAAGGACACTCAGACCCTCGCCTGAAAGCAGCAAATCTATGTGAAAGGGACCCTCCCTGGGTACCAGAGATAGGAAATTTAGACCCAAGAAGACTGTAGAAACAACCCTTGTTGTTTTTTACTGATTCGCTATCCCAGCCCAGAGTCTGTTCAGAAGTCCATACTAATTAAAGCTACGAAAGTTTTGTTTGTTCTGTGAATTCTTCACAGATCTATCGTCTCTCTGTCTAAAAAGTACAAAATCAGCCTGCCTTGGGCATTTCTTTGGGTCTCAATTTCATTATCGGGTCTCTCTGTGCATGTAATAAAGCTTTGTTTTTCTTTTCTCCTGTTCATCTGTCTTTTGTAAATTTAATTCTTTGTCCAACTGGAAGACCTTGAGCATAGAAAAAATTGTTCACGCCCTTCAGTATAGGTGAAAAGATCACCAGATCTTAGTGGTACAGTGCTGAGTTTATGTCCTTGGCGAAGGTGAGGGTTGCACAAGGCCCGTCGAGGGTTAAATTTGTCATCTGCCGTGAGGGGATGGGAGGGGATGGGACGCCTGCCCAGCACAGGGGCTTCTAAGGAGACTTGAATGATGCACAGGGTTTTCCCTGCCTGACTTAGTGACTGCGTCACAACAGAACCTTAGCAAGAAATAGGAAAAGTTGTTACTGTTTAGTTTCTGATGCCAAAGAGCAGCAAAAAGTAAGCATTTTAATTTGGTGTTTAAGACCCAATTGTTAGTGCCATGAGAAATAAAACACATCCTACAACGATAGTCAAAAGAAACTCACCTGCCTTTATCCCTCTGCATTTTCTTTTATTGCTTTTCCTCGTTATGTTTGGCTTGCAAAGTAGTACAGAATTTTGTGCTAGAAATTGTTCCGGAGCTTGTGAGTCCCTGAAACTCGGCTGAGGCCGTGCCGAGCCCTCGACCCTGCTGACGTGGACTTGCTCTAGTGTGTGTCTTACAGGGTGCAATGTGTTTGATTTGTGGGAAGGTCAGTTCTGTGACACGCTGCATTACAGAAACCCAGCGGCGGTTATCTTGCCCAGATTAGAAGCATCTAAGGGTCTTTTAAGAAATTCTAAGGGCAGAACACACCCTAGACCACTTAAACCACAATCTCTGTGGGTGGGACGTGGAAACTGGTTATGTTTGAAGCTGCCCAGGTGATCCCACTTTGCAGACAAGTTTGGGGACCTGTGCCCAAGGAAGCAGAAAGAGATTCAGCAATCTGGTGTACTTTGAGCTCGTGCCAAGACGTCTTGTGTTATTTTTTTTCAAGAGGGCTTTTTGTTTTTTTGCTTTCAGAGCAGTCCCCCCAACCTTGCTCCAACTAAAAAGCTTAAATATAAAAAGTTTAAGAATAAGGCCTAGCAGTTCCACTATCATTTACTGTACTTCACTCCTCTGAAGACCATCTCCCAGTTCATACATTTCCAAACCAAGGGAAGTACCCCATCACCCATATTCCTGGCTTAGTATTACCTATTTTACAGATTCATGATACCTGTTGGCTCTCAGAAGAAAATACTGGCTTGGGTTCTACCTGATAATAGTGTTGAGAGTTAAATAGGCATTTATATCTTTCAGTTGAGGGAGGCTCAAAGGGAGGGTGGAGAGAGAAGGAGAGAGAGAAAAAAAAGAAAGTGAGAGACTTAGCTTACAGTTGATTTAGTGAATATTTTTCTGCCACCTAATGGACTTTTTAGGATGTGCTATGCAATATTACCGAAGAATGTGGAATCTATTTATTTTTTTAAGATTGTATTTATTTATTTGAGAGAGAGCACATGCCAGGGGAGGGGCAGAGGGAGAGGGACAGGCGGACTTCGAGCAGGGAGAGGAGCAGGGAGACCAATGAGGGCCTTGATCCCAGGACCCTGGGATCATGACCTGAGCTGAAGGCAGACGCTTAACCCACTGAGCCCCAAGGTGCCCCCGGAATCTACTTATTTTTATTTACAAAACCCTTGGGAGCACCACCAACTTCACAACATGTACGCAGACATGGGTGTTTTGCAAGTGACCTTTCGGAAGGCCAAATACTCCCTACAGCATGCTTTTTCCTCCATTTCATTATGAGCACCTCTACTTCTTTCTTAAAAACCCCAAATCCAGTTTATCAAGAATTGTGCCTAAGGATATAATTAACAGACCATACAATCTCCCTAATCTTTCAGTATTGGAGTACCTCTAGGCTCAGTGATTTGATCTCCTGTTTTTATCTATTCACTGATGATCTTACCTGGTCCTATGCTTGTAAGAACGATCTACACACAGATTTATAACCAGCAGTGCTATCTCCAGGTCAGACTTTCCTTGGATCTCAGGCTCATAGATCCTCCTGTCCACTCCACACGGCTTCTTGGACGTCCGATA